ATTTTACAATAGAAATAAAAATAAAATTATTAAATAACTACTAATTAAATGCATAATTAAGTGGGGGCAAGTGTCTCCAATTACTAACCCATACATCAGTGTTTTATTGACATGTTATTGTCTGTAACACATGCATGCATATCTGACATACATATCCGATATACCATAGACAGTAACATATACACTATCATTTTAAGAGTATAATGTGCCATACATAATATCTTTCACCATTAAAATTCACACAGACAATTGCAAAATTTCGAACTCGAATTTGAGTAAAGATGTCTAACATAACATTAACACTATTTGTAAGTTAAGCTATAAGTCTTCAAAATAATGAATTATATAGCGTGTAAGATTTGACCGGACATAGAAGAGAGAAAAATCAGAGAGAAAGAAAAAAATGAATACTAGATTCAAGAATTTTGTGAGTCCAGATAAATTTTTCTTTGAAAATTAAAAAAGTAATATTGAATAGTATTATCAAAATTCATATCGCAATGTGAATAAAAAAAATTCTCAACAACCAGTATTAATTAGTCATCACCTTAACTCTTAAATTTAAAAAAAATATATTTTCAGTTCCTATAAATACTAGACTCAACTTCATTCATAAATCACACAACTAAGCAAGCAATTTCTTAGTTATTTGTTATCTTTCATACGAGCTAGCATTATAAATCATCATTATCATGGGTGTTTTCAATTTTGACGATGAAATCACTTCTGTTGTAGCACCTGCTATACTTTTCAAAGCTCTTGTTATTGACGCTGACACTCTTACTACAAAGATTATTGATGATATCAAAAGTGTTGAAATTGTTGAAGGAAATGGTGGTGCTGGAACCATAAAAAAAATCACTTTTGTTGAAGGTGATACATACATATATATAACTTGAATATGCTCTTAATATATAAAATTTACTTGCAATTTTGAGTTTTTTTTTGGTTAAAAATTCCACAATTTCATGTGCAGATGGTGAAACCAAGCATGTGTTACACAGAGTGGAGTTGGTAGATGTTACTAACTGGGTTCACAACTACAGCATAGTTGGTGGTGTTGGGCTTCCAGACACAATTGAAAAGATCTCATTTGAGGCTAAATTGTCTGAAGGACCAAATGGAGGATCCATTGGAAAGCTGAATGTGAAATACTTCACAAAAGGTGATGATGCTCCTAGTGAAGAGCAACTCAAGAAGGACAAAACTAAGGGTGATGGTCTTTTCAAGGCCCTTGAAAATTACTGTATTGCTCATCCTGATTACAACTAAAGCATATAATCGTCATCGGATTTTTGCTTTATACATTGTGTGTCGCTATACTATATATCCGGTGTGCTTAATTTGGCTACACATTTGTAATTCTCTGTTTTATTTTGCCCCTTTCCTTTTGTTGTGGAAGTAAAAATGTGAGATTGTAAGTCGTGTGTCTACCTCTCTTTCAATAAATTATAATAATACTTCTTATTTTTGTTAGCCCGTTTGTTTTTTAAATTACTATGATAATATTTCATATTTTCTAAATTAAATACATGCTAGTTAATCACTACAAGAAAATGCTTGCCCACCCACGTGAAGTTGCCACGTGATTTTCATGTGGCTAAATAAAACTTGTTGCGACGTGAAAATCACGTGGCAACGTGTTTTAATAATATAATACAGAAGCATTAAGTGTGTCAGTTACTTTTTTGTGTAAAAAAAAGTTGCGACGTGGGATTCACGTCGCTAATTAAAATGTAACAAAAATTAATTAAATCACAACTTCCAACACTGGCGTGTTCAGGTTTTGAAGGAAGAGAAAACAGTTGTAAGTTTGTTGCGACGTGAAAATCACGTGGCAACCTTGCAGCGTGATTTTCACGTCGATACTTGATTTATGTAACTTCTCAAAACGTTCCACAACGTTTCTGTTTCTCATTTCTTCTTCTTCAACAACGTTCCTACCCTCCATACCCATTTTTCTTCACAAAAAAATTTTCTTTTCCACACTAAAATTCCTACCATCTTCATACATTTTGTAAGGTAATTTCAATTTCATGTTTTATATACTTTGTTAATAGCTTTTGATGTGTTATTTGAGTATAATTTTTTTTTAATTTTTCTTTGAATAGAGAAGGAGAATATAGAAGTATAGATTGCAAAAAAGGACAAGAAGATTGAAGGAGTTACAAGATAAAAGGTATGTCTTGAATTTTTTTTTTTTGAAATTAGTATATTTTCTGAATTTGATTAGTTTGCATTGGGTTAAAATTGTTGAATTTGGGTTATATATATATTTTCTGTATTTGAGTTAAATGTTAGGTTTAATTATTTAGTTTATAATAATTATTAATTATTAATTTGTGATGAATGAGTTTAATTATTTTAGGAGTTTAAGTTTTTTTATTTTTAGGAGTTTATAATTTTTTAGTGTTTAAATTAAAATTTTAGGAGTTTAATAAGTTTTTAAATTTTTAGGAGTTTATAAAATTTAGGTGTTTAAATTAAATTTTAAGTGTTTAAAAATAAATAAATATTTTTAGGAGTTTATAAATTTTTAGTGTTTAAATTAAATTTTTAGGAGTTTAATAAGTTTTTAAATTTTTAGGAGTTTATAAAATTTAGGTGTTTAAATTATATTTTAAGTGTTTAAAAATATTTTTAGGAGTTTATAAATATTGTTGAAAGCATATATTTATCTTTAATTGTATATGTTTAGGATTATTATTAAGTTGATTAATTAATATTTCTAATTAAATAGGTTTTGATTATATAAATTTGCAGTAAATGGAATATTATATGTATTATCGTAGTTGGATGTACGATAGACTATATCCAGGAAGACGCGCACTTAAACCCAATTTTATAGACGGAGTTAATGATTTTATCGCGTGGACGTTTGCCCAGGAACGTTGTCGAAGTGAAGGAGGAGTTAGGTGTCCTTGTCTTAAATGTGGATGTAGATATATAATTAGTGACCCAGAGGAAATAACACGTCATTTGCATAGGAAAGGTTTCATTGAAAATTATTGTGTTTGGACGCATCATGGTGAAACACTGCCGAGTAATGTACCAGAGACTAGCAACACAGATGCTTCAAGTAGTCAACCGGTTATGCAACCACCTATGGAATTTGAAGAAAACTTTAATCTGATAGGTGACATGGTTGGTGATGCTTTTGGTGTTAACGTGACCTATGATCAACCTGAAGACTTTGACGGGGAAGAGTTGCCGAATGAGGAAACACATAGATTTTATCAGTTGTTGAATGAGATGAATACGCCGTTGTTTGAGGGGTCGTCAGACTCAAAGCTATCAATGTGTGTTAGATTATTGGCCGCCAAGTCAAATTGGAATGTTCTTGATCAGTGTTTGGAGCACTTCGCAAAAATGATGTTGGACTCAACTGCAACGAAAGACAACTTGCCTGCGAGTTTCTATGATGCAAAGATGTTGGTGTCGAAGTTGGGTTTAAGAGTAAGAAAGATTGATTGTTGCATTAATGGTTGTATGTTGTTTTATGACAATGAGTTCGGTACTCAAGTTGATGAGGATGAAGATCATGAAGATTCTGGATCTGAGGATAGTATCACATCAGATGACGATGATGAAATGGATGACGAGCATGAAGATTCAGAATAGTGAACCTATATTCATGAGAATTGTGTCTTGTAATTTTACTTAACGAACCATTTATTGAATGATTTAATGAATATGTATTCATGAGAATTGTGTCTTGTAATTTTACTCAAAGAACCATTTATTGAATGATTTAATGAATATGTATTCATGAGAATATGTATATGTTAACTTGTATTTTCTTTAATTAGGTAAAAATGCCACCCAAAGATAATAAGGGTAAAGGTCCTAGTGATAGTGGTAGGAAGCCCAGGCGTCCAAGGGTAGTAGTATGCCAGTCACCCCACTCAGCCACATGTCCTCCCCCGCAGAGTCAGGTTCATCATATGTCCATGGACAATACTATGCCATTTACTCCATTACTATCATCTAAGAGTCCTGTTCAGTTCCCATCTGGGAGTACATGTTTTATTAGTCCATCTGGGGCCCCACCTGGTTTACCATTCCAGCAGACACAGGTGCCCTCCTCCTTCCAGCAGACACAGGTGCCCTCCTCCTTCCAGCAGACACAGGTGCCATCCTTCCAGCAGACACAGGTGCCCTCATCCTTCCAGCACAGTTTTCCATTTCCCACACAGATGCCCTCATTCGTGCAGCAGCCTGGAGGATCCAGCACCCCACTTCCTACACAGATGCCCCCATCCGTCCAGCATCCTGGAGGATCCACCTCTTCACGACCCACACAGACTGGTCGCACCCCCACATCCCACACAGAGTCGGATGATGACGATCTTGGTATGGATGATGATCAAATAGATGGGAGAGATCTTCGAGGGGATGATGATCCGAGTGAGATTCATACCATTGATGGGAGATTTTGGATATGGCCTGAAGGGAACTCGTAAGTTTCTTATTTATTGATTTTTATTTATAAGTACACATTTCCATTTTTAATATAACTTTATATAATTAATTATGCTAATTAAATTATTGTTGTTTTAGTTTCGGGCCGAGTCGGACTGCTGCTAAGGTTATCAATTATATAATTCAGCAGAATTATACAAAATTTTTGAAGAGTTTTAGAGAAGTTTCCGATAAAGAAGAATGGTTCAAGCAATTTCAGGTATAATTTATTTATTTCTTAAGTTATTTTTATTTAAATGACCTTTTCATTATTGTTATAATTTATCTAACTATTTATTTTAATGTCATATACAACATTGCAGGCGAAATGTGTTTGGGATCCCCTGAACCATAACAAAGTAAAAAAAAAATATTTTGGGAGGAGTTCAAGACGACTTTCTGACATGCTACGACGTGTTAGAGAGAATTGGAACATTTTGGGCATTCGTCCCAAATGGATAGGCAAAGAAGTTTTTGAACAACTTCTTAAGTATTGGGAATCAGATGAATTTAAGGCCAAATCTGAAACTGCAAAGAAGATGAGGGCATCGGAAAAAGGGGGTTGCATTAATACTGTTGGAAGTATTAGTACTGCTGAGCATGCTCGACGTATGGTAATTATTACCACTTTTTAAGGTCATATTTGGATTTATAACATATTATTAATTTAAGTTAATTTTTATATTTAGGCTAAGCGTTTGGGGAGACAACCATTGATGACTGAGCTGGTTAAGGAGACTCGGACAAAGAAATCAGAAGGATTTACTGACGAGCGCACAAAAAAAGCCCTGGTAATTAAGTAAATTTATGTTTATATATTTTTTTAAGCAATTTTGTGACGTGATTTTCATGTAGCAAGTGACATGTTGTGGCGTGAAAATTGAGTGGCAACTGATAAGTTGTGGCGTTACAATCACGTGGCTATTTATTTTTTATTATTTATTTTATTTTATTTAATTTCATTAATGTTACTTATACATTTAATTTAACTTGATTTTTTTTATTGTATGTGTAGGAGGATTATCAGGCGTTGCTTGTAGAATTTCTGACCCATAATCCTCAGTATACGCCTCCTCCAGAAAAACTGGTTCATCCAGATGTGGATTTCTATATTTGGAGTCAAGTTGTTGGGGGAAAGGGGCCTAACGGGTGTTTTTTTGGTGGTGGAAATTTGGCGGGCACCTTGAGGAGTGGGGATAGAAATCTGTATCAGAGAGCTGTAGACGGTGAAGGAGGGTCACATCAAACAAATTTGACACCAGATTAGTTAGAACTGGTAAGACAATTGGCTAGACGCGAGTCCGAAGATCGTGAGGCGACATTGAAGGCCCAAATGGATGCCCAAATGGAGGCAATGAGGGGTGAACATAATAGACAAATTGAGGCAATGGCGAAGAGGCAAGCTGATATGGAGGAGCAAATGCGATAATTTATGCAAGCATTTGGTAGAAATCCCAACAGTGGTGGCCAAAATAATAACCACCAAAATAATGATGACTTTCTTCCCGACATTTCCGACGACTCTGATTCTGCTTAGTTTTATTTTTATTTTGTATTTAGTTTTTTATTTGTGTAATATAAATTTATAATGATATGGTATATTTAAAAATATTATATATAAATTTAAATTTGAGTTTATTAAATTTATAATATTAAGTATATTTATTTATACATTTATATATATTTAATTTTGTTTTTGATAATTTGATTTATAATATTGTATTTAATAAATAAATTATAATATTTAATTTATAAATTTAATAAAACAAAAAATAATATTAATTATTAAAACAAAATTAATATATTTAAAACACAAAATATTTTATTTTTTAAATAAAACAAGTTGCGGCGTGTTTTTCATGTCACTAATTAGTGACGTGAAAAACACGTCGCTACAGCTAACGTAATATAAATATAAATGCTCTGCTCTGCTCTGCTCTGAATTGCTTTAATCCTATACAGTATGTTGCGGCGTGAATTTCACGTGGCAACTTGGTGACATGCTTTTCACGCCGCAACAAGATTGCCACGCGCTATATAGCGACGTGTTTCTTAAGGTGGCAAAATCTGAGTAGTGGCGTGATTTGGGTGTTAGCGACGTGGCTTTCACGTGGAAAAACACAATTTATTTTGTAGTGAATATTATATAATCAAGATTATACGAAAATAACAGAATAACTCGTGTCGCTGTTCGTTTTTGAATGACAAATCAATATTCAGAAAATTGACTCATTCTTTTCCCAAAACATGCCACGTGGCTGACTGACATCTCAATATTTTATTTTCCCAAATAGTTACGCTTACTTCCATTTTCCCATATCGTTTGCACTTCCGTTTTCACAAATCCTTACTCCACTTTCAATGGCGGTTACAAAGTTGAAAATTTTCCAATCATTCCTTCACTTCCATTCTTCCCATGATCATCATTTGTTTTCCAAAATTCTTCGTCGTTTATTGTTTGGGGTTTTCCACTTCCAATCTTCCCCTCCAATCAATTAATATTTCCACACCTCATATTCCCAAAACTGATTCAATTCAACGCACTGTTGATTAAAATCATTCCACCTCCATCTTCATAAACCACCCCTCTCTCTACTCCACGATCTATTTAGGGTTTTTGTTTCACTTTTCTTCTCCATTTACCATTTCTTTTTTCCTTCAATTCGATATTCACCCACCGCGAAATCTGCTGATAACCTGTGAGTTTATTCTCCCAGTTGCAAAGCATTGTTTGATTCAGTTTCGCGATTTGAGTCTATTCGTTTTTCTGATCTAATGTTTTCGATCTCGTATTCGTTTTTATTTGTTAGGTTGAAGTGCAAGGGCACTGGTGCTGGAACTAAACAATCGAAGAGAGATGCGAAGGATCCTAACAAGCCTAAGAGGCCTCCAAGTGCTTTCTTCGTTTTCATGTATGTTTCCATGTTGAAAATCGTTCGATCTACTTTGTTTTTGTTGATATCAGTTTAGATTCAATTTATTGATATTCCAAGGTAAATCGATTTTCTGATTTCTATTCTTGTGATTTTACTATAGTTTTGGGTCTGAGTTAAGAGAGACTCTCAAGAAGGAGAGTCCTAACAACAAGTCCGTCGTTGTCGTGAGTTTTGTGATGTTAAGTTACCGAAAGGAAAAAAATTTTACTCCTCGGTTTCATACATTAGGATACCACTTTTTTATTTGTGCATGCATGAGCATGCTTTATGTATATATGTGCAAATTTTATTTCTACTTCCCTCAATATGGCATAATAAACTATCTTACTGGTTTACTTTCTTAATTTTTTATTTCCTTTCAGCGATGGAAGATCTAGCCGCTGAGAAACTTGTTCGATATATACTATCAATTGAAAAGGTTACTTCACTCGATTTATAGTTGATCCATTACTTTCTAATTACTATCTTTTATGTTTAAATTCATTTTAAATATTTCTTTAAATTTTTTTCCAGAAGAGAGATAGTTTTGAATTCGTGGTAATGGAGCATCTGAGGATGAATGGAGCATACAAGGGACTAATTGCTCTTGATATTTTGGGAAACTCGACACTGTCGATGTCGATGAAGTTGCTTCATGGATCATCAGTTGTCAGCACGACTCTGGTTGTTGTTCACTTTCAGAATTTGAAATTTTATACTTCACTGATGTAGAAATTTTATCCCACTCGGTGAAATAAGACTTGATTGTTGTTGTTTTTATGATTTGGATATTTTTTAAACTTATGAAATGTACGTTCTTTTAAAGGTGGATTTGGTGGAACGTTGAACATGATCCACATATCTTGTATACGCTCAGTGTCGCGTAAGTGGTGACTCTTTTTAATAAGCTTGATGTTATTGATGTAGATAAGTTGACAAGTTGTATCATTTGACACACCTGTTAGTCGATTTTGAAGGTTTTGTAATATTTATTCACACGTATATCAGGGAATACACCCGGTGGACAAGAAGCTCCTGAAATGATCTTGGATGTTTCAAACTATGAAAATTATAGTGTTATGAACTATGATTATTAAACCTAATCACATTTGTCACTTCTCAACTGTAGAGGTATATTGCATTTATTCATGATGATTGTAGCTTGCAAGCATTCATGAAGACTGTAGCACCAGTGGGTCGCAACACCTTGAAGATCAAACTGTTTTGTATCAAAGAAGATTTTTTGGAAATAGAGAACAAGAGAATCGTAATTAATAGAGAGGATGATATGATGACAACAGTTAAATGGTCAATTCTTATTTGGAAGAGCACAAAAAGCAACAACATACCAATAACATTATGTCATGAAAGTTCTCTCTGACAAAATCGTTGAGGGCAATGTCTTTTATCCAGATAAGTTATTTTTCATGTTGTAGTTAAAATATTTAGAATGAATGTCTTCATATTCACATAAAGCACTAAGAATAATTTCCAAATATACTTAATAGCGTAGTATGCTTAGAGAAAATATAGTTTGTAGAACACTACTAATTTGTTGTTATAATATTTCAACTAGATGGCGTAGTAGCTGTACCAAGTATCGTCGGAGATAATTCGAAAGTACTTGTAATACAGTGCCAGAACCGACTGTTATACTAGTTTTGTGTTTGTTTTCGTAAATGTTGCGGTAAGCAAGAGTCGCCATCGCCTTTTCTTTTATCCAACAAAGGAAAGAGTGAAAAGAACAGAAAAGACCTTTCGAGATTATTTCTGAGTAAGGGGGGTAGATTATGAAAAGGGAAGGTGTTATCACCCTTTCCATCCGTAGTTATCTACGGACTCTTAGATGTTAGCTCATTTTGAAAATGTTTTTTTGTGTAAGTGTGTTTTTGAAGATATTTTGAAAACATGCCTTAGTGCGGTGAACTTTGTAATGTTTCTCGTTTTGGAGAGAACGTATACAAAGTGTTTTCATGTCTTTGAAACTAATTAGAAAAAATAGTTTGTGTATGTGTGAGAAATTGTTTTGTTTGAGCAAGCAACTAGGAGCTATCTACTTACTCGAAAGATTTGTTCTTTTTCTCCTTTCCTTTAGACAATGCTATCCTACTATTAGTGAGTAGGTAGCCCTATCATCGAATGTTTTGAGGGACATGAGCGGATCATCATACAATCATTGAAGGCAACTGGTAAGGACGTTTTAGCAATTTCATTTAAGGGACTACATCATTTTACCGAAAGGCAACACCGAAGGGTCATCGAGGGACTATGATATTTTGATTTGAGGATCTTTGCTAAAGCATCCTCACTTTCGAGGGACATGACTGTTGTTTTCTGAAGGCAACAAGTGGTGGTACCTTAGAGGTGCTCGTGTGCGAAGTGTTTTGTGTTTCAGTTATTGTTTATCTTTGATGTTAAGGTTTTCTAACATTTTGTTTTTAGATCTTGTCATACACGTCCTAGTTACTAAACAATTATATATATATATATATATATATATATATATATATATATATATATATATATATATATATATATATATATATATATATATATATATATATATATATATATATATATATATATATATATATATATATATATATATAAGTGCATAAAATGCGAGAAAGTAAAGGCCTATAGCTATTACATCCCATAAGCAGTTACATAATAGAAAAAATGCGAGGAAATGTAAACTACAAATATTACAAAATTACCCGTGCGACCTATACATTTGTTTTCTAGAATTTAAATAGCAAAAGAAAAATTAAAGGACAAAATAAAAAAACTAAAATTCTAAGCAAGAAAATTTTTTTTTGGTCTTTTTATGAGAAAAAAGAATTTTGTGTTAATAATAATTTGAATTTGATTTATGAAAATAAATTAATTATAAAACCCTAATTCTAATTAGTTAATTAATTAAAAAAATGATTAAAGTAATTAATTAAAATTAATGTAACTAATAAAAACCTAAGTCTAATGTTTTTGTGATTTTTTTATTAAAATAAGATTGATTAAAAAAGTAGTTAATTAAAACACAAAAAAGAAATGAAAGTGAGCCTGCTGAGAACAGGTAAGTGGAGGGGGTGTGAGGAAGGAGAACAATGGGCCCAAAACGGATGAGTCAAGGAGCTTTGTTCCGATCTAGTGGGGAACGCGCCTTAGGGTGTACCATGGTCATGATTGTTATTTCTGCCTCCATGCTTACATGTAAAACGTTAGAAAATTGCAGAAACTGCATATAAATGAAACAAACATGTTTACATGGATTTAAAGTGTGAAAATCTTGAGAACACGAAATCTATCAACTTACCAACCAGAATTGGTGTGAGGGCGTTTTCTGGGGTTGATTTGCAAAGGATAATGATTGATTCTGACTCCTGGCCTTCAGGAGGACAATGAAAGGTTTAGATCAATTTGAAAACTGCTGGAGATGCGAGATATGATTTTCACAATTTCTTCGAATTTGGAGAATTTGTTTTGGAGAGCTTTGATGCAAAATTTCGTGCTCTTGGATTATGCTTTTATTTTGTATTTATAGAGGGATGAAATGGTGAGTAAACATGGCAAGAATCCACACATAATGGCCCCCTTTCAAAGCAATATCAAACATATTAAAATACTTCCAAAATTGTGAAAAACTTGCCCTTCTTGAGATGCAACGAACCTGGTATTTTTCCTCATGCCTGGCACAAATTCTAAGGCCCAATATCAACCCAAATCATCATCTCATGTGTCCATACTTTTTCTTTATTATTTTATGCAATTTATTTTGTGTTTATTTGAATAAAAACAAAATAAGTATGAATAAAATAGAGAAAAAATGCAAATTAAGGTAAGAGTGAATCTAGGGGTCCTTGAGTAAGTCATAAACATATTTGAATCCCACAAAATAGGTCTATGAACTTAAAAATGCATTTTTGCTCAAAGTTGACTTTTTTTGCATTTTCATCAATTTGCCCAATTTGTACTGGTCATAAATTGCTCAATTTTTATCTTTTAGAGATGATCTTGGAATTTTAGAAAGCTCAATATGTCCCCTACAATCTATATGTTGACCATTTTTGCATTTGGAGAAATCATATTGATGTAACTTGCCTTGACAAAAAATTCCTTTTTGTTGACTTTCAAAAGGACCTGTAATGTGTTGGCTCATATATTTCCAATGATGCATTTTTTGAACTTGAAGACAAAATATAGGTTGTAAGGAATTTGATTTTCTTCACAATGAGCTTTGGTTGGGGTAAAATGGATGAGGCATATGAAAGTTATGCCGGGTCAAAGTTCAATTGACTTTCTTTAGGAAAACTCTAATTTAGCAATTTCGATTCTTGAGGATTTGAGAGCATTCCTTGAGTAATCATGATAAAACCTTGATAAAATGATGGATATCACTTCAAAATGTTGATGTTGACCAAAAATATTGAAGTTTGACTGTATATTGACCACAACTGACTTTTTGACCAATATAGTTGATTTTCAAACATTTGAGTCATTGACTGAGAAAACTTGTGATGCAAGTCATGAAACTTGGCATGGATATTCTTGAGGTCATATTAGGAACCACGGAAATCACTTGAGAACTTTGAAACCAAAACTTCTTCATGAAAAGTGATACCCTAGTTAGAAGTCCATTGCTTAGGAGGAGCATTTGTCTAATCAATTCTTAGTCAACCTTGAGCATTTGGGGACCTCTATGAGTATGTCTTAAATAAAATAAGAGAGCAAATTTTGGCTTACAACAATACTTCAATCTTGTTTTTCTATAATTAAAGTAGTTACATTTTGTGACAATTGAATAAATGGGGTTTTGTTGGTTTTAACAGTGACGTGTCTACAAATCAATAATGTGTGTGCTCTGTTGTTCTTGGGTGACCATAAATCCAAATTTATCAATCCAATCCATTCAAGTTGGCTAAAATCAGTGCTCTTTTGTGTGGGAAGGATGAAAATGCTTGAGTGTGAGGAGTAATTTATACGTTTTACATTAATGTAGTGTTTAAAAGTTTGCGACACAATGGCATATTTGTTGTGTGATGTTGAGTCGCTATTCAG